TTTTCCCCAGCTCGGTCACGTACACTTCTCTTTCCTTCTTGTACAACGGACATTCCGCGACTACATGAACACGGTCTTCGCATTCGAAGCCGCAATCACATTTGAACTCGTCGTCTTCCTCGTCTACCGTCCTATGTCTTCGTCGACGTTCTCGAAGGCCTAAATTTATGTCCCCCGTCATGAATTTGACCTTAAGCTTTGTTCCTGCATCCACTGGTCCATGTAGGTAATCCTTGAACCCTATTCCTTCCTTCAACATTCCGTACACGTCTAGACCCTCCTTATCCTTGGATTCTTTCCTCAGATTATGTTCTTCTCTCTCGGCACAAGCAACAGATATCTTCTCCTTGAACCCCTGTAGACCCTCCGTTTCCAGCGTTTCATCTTCGTCGATGTCGAGCCCCTTCCATACGTCCTCTACAACCTTGACCCATTCCGTGGGTTGTCTGCTCTGACGAGGGGGGACAGGAGATGATTGAGCCGCTTCTCCGGCGCCGCCTTCGCGGAATCTTCCCCGATTGCTCCAGGTTTTACGCAGACTTGGCGGAAAAGCTCGGCAACGAGGAACCGGAGGAGATCGCGGTACCGGACGACAGTTTCAGGACGCGGGTGGTGCGCGAGCCGATTGGGGTGATCGGGGCTATTACCCCGTGGAATTACCCGCTGCTGATGGCGGTGCAGAAGGTGGCGCCCGCTCTCGCCGCCGGCTGCACTGTCGTCCTGTGAGTATGAGCCGGCCTTCGGTCGCGAACGCCAGCCGCCTCTCGACCATGTTGTGTTTAGGGTGCTACTGCTGGTGCTCCTGCTGTTGGTAGCACTTGTCTGGTTGGGGATTGGAGGGTGCCACTCACCCTGCCTACAATATGTCTTGTCGGCCGATTGAATCAACATGCTAGGATATTCTTTGTAGCTGATTTTTCGTGGTCGGTGACGCCACCGGATTCCCATCGACGAGGCAGAGAATAAAACAATCCCAAGCAATACCAACACGCTTACAATCCGCACACACACACACACCCCTCCTTCCCCTCTGAACCTCGCTGCACGTACGGCTACATACCCTAGGAAACCCTCCGAGCTTGCCCCGCTTACGTGCGTCCGGATGGCCACTCTCGCGGAGGCGGCGGGGCTGCCGCCCGGCGCCTTGAACGTGCTCACGGGGGAAGGATCTCCCGCGGGAGCATCGCTGTCGGCGCACCGCGGAGTGGACAAGGTGTCCTTCACGGGGTCGGTGCCGACGGGCCAGGTAGCGTTCTGCTACTGCTGTTGTTGTTGTTGTTGTTGTTGTTCTTGATGGTCTTGTTATTTTGTTGTTGTTGTTGTTGTTGTTGCTGTTGTTGTTGTTGTTTTGTGTTGTGTTGGGAATGCTAGCATGTAGGGTTGTTCTTCTTCTGGCTTTTTCGTTTTGCTCTTTGGTACGCTAGAACTGAGGGGTGACGATGATGGAAACCGCTATGGAGGTGTGTATGCCGAGAACAAGGAGAGGTAGATCGGTTTTCATTTACATGGTGTTGCAGCGTGCAGCAGCACATTCGGGTTGCGTAAGGCACCACACGTCCAGGACTACCCACACACGCACAAAAGCTTACCATCCACGCCCTTGATGCACTCGCTTGCCGCCGCTGACCATCCCGTCAGAAAGTAATGGCTGCCGCGGCGGGAGGTCCGGCGGGCGTCCATCTGGAGCTGGGGGGCAAGGGCGCGATGATCGTGTTCGACGACATCGAAGATATTGACGCAACCGTGGACTGGTGGGTGTGACTGACTGCGCTCGCGAAGTATTCCTTGCGTACCCACGCACCGCGTCGGCACGTCAACCTGTCTTGTTGTCTGATTTGTTACAGAAGCTCGAGTGGCCCCCACTTCCGTGTGTCGAGTTCCGTCCAATTTAACATTATTCGAAAAACGACAAGAACTCGAACGCGGTCAGGTCAGAGGCAAGAAGTTAGAGAGATTTTTTCAAGAGTGTCCTGTTCCCATCACCCGTTTCTCGCATGTAGCAACAATGACCCCGCTGTCGGTCCGTCTTTCTTCCGTCGCGGCTCACCCTCTGCCGCTGAACGCCGAGCAGGATCTGCATGGGAATCTTCTTCAACTCCGGCCAGGTCTGCAGGTAAGGAAGGATATGTCCCCGCTTCACCCGCCAGTAGCCTTAGCGAGGATATTTTAGCTTGGTTTGATAATTTTGAGGTTGGTTTGGTAGGGGTTACGGGTTGGGGTTGGGGGTTCGGGTTAGGGATAGAGATACGAAACCCCCCACTCTATTTCATTAATTAGTTCTCAAAATCCTGGCGGAGGCGACCCTCGCTCTATGTGGGCACACACGAATCACATGCCGGTCACGCGGTGTGGTTGTTACATGTTGCCATACGCTAGGTTCTGCCAGGGGGGACAGCAGCGCTGCTTTGTTTGCAAAAATGGTTGATTGAAGCGCTCAGTGGAAAAGACGCTGTCGTTGGGCGAAGAGGCATGTCTTCAAAAAGTAGGCACCGGAAGAGCA